ACACATGTATATACACATATATACATATATATACATATATACATACACATATACACATTTATATACACATATATATACACATGTATATACACATATATATACATATGTATATATACATTTATATATGTACATATATATACATGTATATATGTACATATATACATGTACATATAGGTATCAGTGGCTGAACGGTAGCCTGGTGATCTTGTTGGAGTTTTACTCATCTACTTTTACTTTGGTTACAGAATCGGCATGTCCTTCTTTTACATTTAGGGCTTTACGTGGCGCCTGAGCTTTATGTGCAGTTGGAGAGTTCAGCAAGCGACCGAAGCCTTTGGAGGGAGTTTTTAATGTTTGAGGCTGTGACTGAGGAAATTGTACATCTTCATAGGCGGAGAGGTATATTTTTATTGAAATGTGCACCATGTGTTGCTGTTTGCGCAATCAGTGTTATTCCTAATGGGCATCTATAACGAATTTTTATGCGTTTTTTGTGTCTAGGCGATGCAGAAAGCGCATATTATCGAGGGGTTGTCTGTGTGTTCGTCTATACCGATTTTTCATCTCTATACCTACAAAAGCTACAGGGCTGAAACTTTGGAGACTTAATCTACATGCATGAGCGCCCATAATCTACATACACCTACACCCATCCCCAAAATGGGCGCTCTTACGTGCCTGGTACCTACGTACGGGCCTGCCAAAGTTTTTTGCAGGCAAGCTGCTATCTCGGGAACCAGAAAAGCTAGGAAGCTGAAATTTGAAGAGGAAATTCACCGTCCACGTACGTCTTAATGAGTTCTAACCAAGTCCCTGTGTATACGTATTTCCTACGTACTTGCCCTTGAACGTTTTTTACGGGTAATTTGCTAACTCAGAAATCTGAAAAGTTGGAAAGCTGGAATTTTGAAATGTTCCCCGCCCACATACAATTTAGTGACTTCAAATTCAGCCCAAGGGTCGCCGGTTCTGTTCATAAAAATTTTTTGCGGGTAAGTTGTTAACTTGGGAACCAGGAAAGCTAGAAAGCAAAAATTTTAAGGGGGTGTTTTCTGACAGCCCTGGCGGCCAGTTTCAGTTCGCTTAACTAGAAGCATTTGTCGGAAAAACCGATGCCGTTAACAACAAAAACCGGCTGGGAACCATGCAAAGAACGCATCCTCGCACCGACAGTCGGTGCGCTGACCATTTATTGAACTATGTAAAAAGCACTGTTGATTGGACAATTATAGCACTGTGTTGCTCTGTTTTAGAAGCTCATGGAGAATGGGGCGAAATGCAATTTTTTGTCTGATAGCAAAGAAGAGGATGGCGGAAAGCGCAAATCTTTGGTTGGGAGGAAAAAACAATTTCGTGACAAAGAGAATGTTTCACCAAGAGTATGTGCCTGCCGTCTACGGCAAATTCAGATCGCTTATTCACGCAAATTATATTTTCCAGTTTGAGCTTTGATTTGATAAAGCAGCTGAGGGGTTTTGAATAACTGGTGATATCCTCCAAATCCTTATTTTCGCACACCGCTCCCCAACGTTACAGAATTTATTGGATGGGCTCGCAGCCAGTGGGGATGAAAATCGGTGCAAATCCACAAAGGAAACTCAGGCTGGAACGCATCAAGCTCTCTGGTGCGTTCATGCGTTTTTGCACTAAACTCGCAGATCGCTATTAGCAGGAATGACCCCTATGCTGTAGCCTAACACTTGGGCTCATGTTGGCCGTGCTTTGATCCTTTCCAGCATGCAAGGACGTCAGTTAGGATGAAGGTGGTGCACTATAAAGCCGCACGGACGTCCAGGTGTATGATTACCGGTTTTTTGCATGAAGTCCGGTCGTTTTTTCGGTAAATGCTCGCTTTGTGAAAAAATGATAAATTTTTTCTTGAAGAAACGCAAATTTCCAGTTCACTAAAAAGTGGAAGTACTGCTCGAGCGATTGTTTTTCGAAAAATCCATGTGCGCAAATTAACTAGTGTTCATTTACATATACGATTAGGGTTCGGATCCAGGTTGCGATGGATTTCTTAACGATTTTTGGATTGAGAAGCTGCTTGAGGCTGTGGTTGGGGTGCTCGACAGCTGAGTTTGAAATCTTTAGCACGTACGCGCATAGAGAATATCCCTGCAAAATTTCAGCTTTCTACGTTGGTTCGCGAAATCGTTTCCCGCTAACATATTTCTTTGGGGGTCCCGTACGCAGAGTCTAGGCGCGTATGGGGAAAGATCTTAAAACGGGAGGATGATACACGGAGTAGGAAAGTATGCCCGAAGTTTCAGCCTCCCAGCTTCCCTGGTTGCTGAGATGAAAGTGGGTGGCAAAATGCACTCGCTTCTGAACACACACACAGGCAGCCCCTCAACAATATGCGTTCTTGGTGGCTGTAGCAGCGCTACAGCGCTGCACAGCAAAAACGCATAAAAACCATCAAATGAATGACGAAAGCACACCCCCACTGGACATAATTATCAGCCTGCTGAAAATGTTGGAAGGACCGACAGTACAGATGAATGACCAGCATGGGAAGAGCAGGGTAGACAGCTTTCAAATTAAGAGCACAGCTTCAGCTTTTAACATGACATTCTTCAACTTTACGTGTTGCCAGCTTTGCCACACAGAAGGGAAACACAAAATACCACGTCTGTTGAAGAGAAAAATTAACATTGAATCAACGAGCCGTGGGGGATGAAAATACCAACAGATTGCCTCATATTTCCACGGAAGTACTGCGATTCCGTAATGTGTGCGATATCATCACGGCAATATTGTCAAAAGGAAGAATTAGGCTGGTGGTTATATGGCAAGAAGGAGAAACAACGAATAATTCGATGCCACTCATACAGAGTCGAAACAGCACGGGGAAAGTCGTAAATGCTGTGCATAGAATTATGCGGATGAGAGAGAGTTTAGAAAGAGAATAAAGGAGGAGCTGCCAAGGCCAGGGGTATTAATTGGCGAAAATGAACGCGAGGAAACAGCAGTCGATCAAAGTGTTGGAATTTTGGTTAGGCGTTAGCATGAAATGTTCGGAAAAATCTGCTCGAGGGGTTCGCATTCTGAAAAGGAAGGAAAAGTGGGGACAACAGAAGTATTGCTAGCTTTAAATTAATTCGCGCCTTTAGTTTATTAGATCTGATTTTTCGGCTTCGTTGCACCGGGCTTTCACGTTATCGATGCAGCTGATAGTCTCCACTTGATTGTTACAGCTGAAGCTTTCGGTCAATCTATTGGTACAAGAAGCATTGCTTTCCTGTTTGCCTTCGTTTTCAATAGACAAAGGGGTGGTTGCCTTATCACATTCCCGTACCGTTTTGCATAGCTCTAGCGCACCTACTAGCATCCTCTACCACTCTTTGTATCTTCACATTTTGGCAAGTTTAACGTACAGATATTTTGCAGAGAGACAAATCTGCAACCAAGTCGCTTTGTGATGTCAAGTGGGAAACTGTAAAACGGAAATATATGGAAAATGAAGAGTTCAAACGACTAGTGGACGAGGCCCTTATGAAGTATGGCGGAGACCAGAGTTTGGATGTGGTTGCCGGAAAGCAGTGTAAACGAGATTCCATGAGGTTCGTCAACTAATAAAATTCCGAATAGCGCGAGATTTTTGATGCCGAATAGTTCTGAATATTTATTTTTGTGGGAGGGCCAGGTCCCGCTTAACTCAGACTTCTTGATTTTTTATAGTTGAATCAGATTTAGGATAATTCAAGAATGATAAAATACTTGGCATGGTCAGCTTTTTGTACGTTTTTGCGGTGGTACGTTGTTGCTCTACAAAATTCATCAAAAACGCACATTGTGACGGCTCGTCTGTGTGTGTTTTTTTGCATGCGTGTGTGTGTATGCGTGTGCATGAGTGTGTGTATGCGTGTGCATGAGTGTGTGTATGCGTGTGCATGAGTGTGTGTGTGTGTATGCGTGTGCATGAGTGTGTGTATGCGTGTGCATGAGTGTGTGTGTGTGTGCGTGTGTGTGTGTGTGCGTGTGTGTGTGTGTGTGCGTGTGTGTGTGTGCGTGTGTGTGTGTGCGTGT